AGCAATGGCATCGGTCAAGGTGGCCGTGAGGGTCCGGCCCATGAACCGCAGGTGAGTGGGGGGCGGCGCAGGCGGCTCCCCCGAGGACCCCCTCCCTGGAGGAAGTTGGTCTTCAGCCCCCCACCGTGGCCAGCCTGGACTTGGGTGGCACGGGCTGGCCTCCGGCCCGCGGGGCCCTGCTGGTGGCCTCTGGGGGCGTGGGGCACACTATGCTTCGCTGTCCCTTTCACGCTGCGCTGCAGGAGGCCCCGGGGGTGGAGAGTTCACGAGGCCACGGAGAAGATTCCTATGAACTCTTCCCCATTTGCTCCCCTTAAAAAAAATCAAGGGATCACTTTCATGAAGGTGTAAAATCCCTCAGGGCGCGTGAGAGTGGTCACGGGGCGCCACGGGCTGTCAGGTGAACGCTCCTCAGTTGTGCCAACGCAGAAGTTAAACTTTAAGTACGAACAGTGATACTTTTTTTTTTTTTTTAAATCTCTTAAGAAGAAGTGATTTCGATTCCCTGAATATGAACCCTAACTTCTAATCAGTCATTTACAGTTCTTAACTTAAGATTAAAGAGTGGCTAAGACAACTTTAACAAAGTTTTGAGTCCTGGAGGAAAACACACACCCACGAAAAACCAAGGACACTTAAGTGCAGGTGCTGAAGAAGGCTGACATCAACAGGGGGGAGTTACAAACACAGTTGGAACTCACCTTCTGTATTTCTACAAAGTAATATTTTTCAGAATGACTTGACTCTTAGTTGACTGACAAATATTTCCTTTTCAATGGCCTCTTTATAATCAGTTTAGAAAGATGCGTTGGAAGAGTTACTTTTAAATTGTCTTAACTTTAAAGAATGAAGTACGCCCAGATCGTTGTTTCCTCCGAGTCCATAGGCACAGTTCACACAAAGCCATTTGTTTATATTGGCTCTCAGTCAAGTTGTTGGATGTTTGACTTACCATGTGGTCTTTCCTCTTTCATCATATCTCTTTGTGGAGGTCATTGCTTGGTAGTTCTGACAGATGATTGGGCCGTCAGATCATAACATCAGGAGGAGATTGCAAGAACCTTCTTTGACTCATCTGGATCTCTTTTTCTATTGATAAATAGGGACTTTTTATTATGGTTTGTAACTAGGGGGAAACAGTACTTTTGTGATTTTCAAGTTATTTCTAAGCTTTTTAGGGAAGGAGATTTACCTTTCTGTAAATTCTAAGAGAATATGTATATTTCTATATATATTCGGTCATACAAGACAAACAGACTCCAAAGGCATTTAGAAGATTTAAAATTGTTTTCTTTGTTCTGGATTTACATGTACTATATGGAAGTTCCTTTCCTTCTTGGGAATAATATGAGCACCTGCTAGAAGATTGGTTCGAGTAAATTTAGGAAGCATTTATTAAGCCCCTACCAAATGCACAGCATTGTGCTGGGTGCTGTCTGGGGGACAGGATGCAGGAGACCTGACCAGTGTCTTCTTGGAGCCTACTCTGGTGAGGGGAGGTTGGGAGGGGTGCTTGCAAGTGCAGAGGCTTGCTTTTGTAGGCCTGGGCCAGGTTTATAGAGGAATGGCAGGGAACATGTCCAAAAGTCATGTGCTTTGAGGAGGTAGATTGAAGTGATGATATTGTGTTCTCAGGAGAGAACACAGTGTCTGGTGGTGACATCATGGTTGGGGCAAAAGGTAAGGAAGCAGTGGTTCCAGGCCAGAGGTGGATATGGGAAGGCTGGATAGATACACCAGGACACTTACTGGATGGGAAGGAGGGGAAAAGGGAAGGGCATAGTCATTAACTGAGGTTTGATGATCAGGGAAGCGGAAGAGGTTTGGGAAGGTGGACAGTGAGGTTGGCATGTTCTCTCTTGGATATGTGGCGTTATGTGAGATACAGAAAGTGTCAAGGACAAGTACAGCGTCCAGCACAGAGTGAGGGCTGCCCACGTGTCGACCCTGTTTGTCATCTGGAGCGCGGTAAGCACATCCATCTCTCTGCTGGTCTTCATAGACAGGCACATGGGTTTAGGTTTCAGGTGATCCGAGGATTGACATTTGGAAGTCTTTGCACATAGATTACAGTTTGTTTGTGTGTTTGTTAATTCTCACCCAAGGATATTTTTTCCATTGATTTTTTTAGAGGGAATGGAAAGGAATGGGGGGAAGAAAGAGAGAGAGAGAGACATCAATGTGAGAGACACATCAATTAGTTGCCTCCTGCATGTGCCCTGATGGGGCCGGGGATCAAACCTGCAACCCAGCTACGTTCCCTTGACCTGGAATCGAACCTGTGACCCTTCAGTGGTCGGGCTGCCGCTCTAACCACTGAGGAACACCTGCCAGGGCAACGCAACTCTGCTTTATAAAACGAGTCAACCATTAGCAGAAATGTAATCACTCATATCCTTTATAGGCAGAAGTTTCACATTTATGTATCGTCTGTGAACCTTTTCCTTTTGATTTCTTCCATTGTTCTTGTACCTAGTTTTCTTACTGGGCATTTTTTACAATTTTACAAGATATAATTTGTTTCCCTCTGAAGAGACAACGAAGTAATAATTTGGTAACTAATTTGCCCACTTCCTGTGGGTTTCACTTGCTCCTGTTTTTCCATGGCAACGCTAGATGATTCTTCAGGGCCATGTGTCCTGTCCCACTGATCTGCCGGTGTTCACAGGGTCAGGACCTGAGCGCAGCCTGCCTGGGTTCCAGTTTTGGCTCTCATTTATGAACTGGGTCCAGTTGAGCAAGGACCTTAATTGTTGTAAGCCTCAGTTTTTGCATCTGTAAAATGGTGATAATAATTGTGTATACTTTATAAATTGTGAGAAGAGGTCTTTTTTCAAATAGTTTTTACTGTGACTCACAGTAAGAAAAATTTGAAATTGAGACTATAGGTAATGTAAAAGATTCTTGGGGTGTTTCCTGCAGTTTACTCTTATATTTTCTATTCTTTCCTATTCTGTTCTGTCTCATTTAAAAATATGCTGTTTCTAGATCTACTAAATTGACTTCAAGATCCACTGAGGGGTTGCAGATGGCAGTGTGAAAAACACTATGGTGAGGTTCAGATGAGGTAATACATGCAGATAAAGCTCTCCGTACACTGATGTCTAGCAAGGGCTCTCTAATGATCGGTTATTGTTATTACTGTTTCTACAATGTAATCAGTAACAAGTATTTAAAAATGTTTTACCAGAAAACAAACATATCTATCTATCTATCATCTATCATCTATCTATCTATCTATCTATCTATCTATCATCTATCTATCTATCTATCATCTATCTATCTATCTATCTATCTATCTATCTATCTATCTATCTATCTATCTATCTATCATCTATCTATCATCTATCTATC